AGGGAGGCTGGGAGTCAGTACTCCTGGGTTCTCTCCCTGGCTCTGGGAGGGGAGGAGGGTCTAGTGGATCAGAGCAGGGGAGGTGGGGGTCTGGGACACAGAACTCTGGGGCTCTAATCTGACACTGACTCACCGCTATCAGAGCCCAGCTGATCAGGCTGTCCTGTGAGTGGTGGGGCAAACCACACTCTGAGTAGTTACCTGCGGCCCTGCTGGAAGGAGGGCGTGGAGAGTGCAGGGTCTGAGCCCTCCTGCCATGAGACAAACCAGCAGCTCAGCCTGTCCTTTGGGACCCAGCGAGGCTCCTCACAGCTACCCGGAGCAGGAGCAGGAGCCCGCTCTGCCAGAGGGGTCCCAGAGACACAACAGAGCTGGGAGCTGAGAATGCCACAGGATTCATGAACCTCACTTCCCTAGGTTGGGATATTTGGTGGCAATAATGAAAATGGGGGGAAGCTGGGCATGGGGTCACCTGGCTCCCCAGATCTATCTAGGTAGGTACTTATCTGCCCTCATCACCATAACATCAGAGCAACGGATTCCTCCTCACGCCCCCTGTGCATCAGGGCAGCATCCTTATTCCTGTTTCATGCATGGGGAACGGAGGCACGGAGGGGCTAAGTGCCAGGCCCATGGTTGCACAAGACATCTGTGGCGAAGCCAGGAACTGAGTACTAGGATGTGTTTCCTAATGGAGAGCACACTTGAATGGGAATCAGGAGATGTGGCTTCTACTCCCAGCTCTGCCACTGGCCTGCTGGGGGACCTGGGACAAGTCATGTCCCTGCCTAGTGCCTCAGTTTCCCCACCTGTGAGATGGGGACAAGGAACATGGCCTCCTTTGCAAAGCACTTTGAGATCTACTGATGAAAAACTCCACAGAAGAGCTAGGCATTATTCTTATCATCTCCTGTCTAACACCTGGTCCCAGGACCACACGGGAGACATTTGGCCAAGCGGAGATGAGATGATGGAGTGTCCCCCTTGAACTGAGCAGGGCATTCCCCTCATCACCCTGTCCCCCATTTCTGCTTGTGCGCCCCAGTGGTGCCCCTCGACATAAGCAGCCTGTGTGCCTCTCCTCACGCTAGGTACTGGACCTCTCTGAGCAACCTGGTGGCATCCCTGCTAAACTCGGTCTGCTCCATCGCCTCCGTGCTCCTCCTCCTCTTCCTCTTCATCATCATCTTCTCCCTGCTGGGGAGGCAGCTCTTTGGCGGGAAGTTCGACTTTGAAGACATGGAGGTGCGGCGCAGCACCTTCGATAACTTCCCCCAGGCGCTCATCAGTGTCTTCCAGGTACGGGGCATGGGGTGCAGTGGGCATCAATCCCGCTGGTCTAATGCATAGAGGAGGGGCTGAAGTCAGGATACCTGGGTTCTTTTTTGGGCTCTGGGGGACAGTGTGACTTAGTGGTTAGAGCAGGGAACAAGGAGTCAGGACTTCTGGGTTCTGTTCTTTCTGGTCCAGTGGAATGGTTCTACTTGACCGGTTCTTTCACTCACCCCGTCTCCCAGATCCTGACCGGAGAAGATTGGAATTCAATCATGTACAATGGGATCATGGCTTATAAAGGGCCCTCCTTCCCCAGCGTGCTGGTATGCATTTACTTCATCATCCTCTTTGTCTGCGGGAACTGTATCTCTTTCTAGCCAGTTGGGGAGTAACAGCTGGGCGTTTTCTTGTCTTATCCAGCACAGTCACATCTAGGTTCAAGTACACATCGGGGAAGAGCTATGGGGCTGGGTATGGTACGTTCAGACATCATAGTACCAGGAGTGAGGGAAATGGTGAAACAGGAGTGGGGGTTAAAAGGGATGAAAAAATCAGTTGGGACACCAACAGAGCTTCACTGGTGACAGCCAAGAGGCAGCTGTCATGGGTACACAGAGGGCTCGTTGCTGAACCTGGGGTTCTCCCCAGCTGCCTGCGTACATTGCTTAGTGTCACCACACAGGCTCTCGCTAAGCCTGGGCCATGGAAGGGACTCATTCCTTACATATGAGCATGCTCCCTAAGCTCTTTAGCCCCACCCCCTCTCAGATATCTGCTCAATGTCTTCCTGGCCATCGCTGTGGACAATCTGGCCGAGGCCGAGAGCCTGACGTCGGCCCAGAAAGCCAAAGCCGAGGAGAAGAAGCGAAGGAAAATGTCCAGGTCGGTGCTGCTCTCTGCTGCTTAAAAGCGGGAACCCCCAAGGGCCCAGGGCTTGCAAATCAATGTGAGCTGCTGGTCTTGGGCATCATCTCAGCAGCATTAGAATCATAGAATCATAGAATCATAGAATATCAGAGTTGGAAGGGACCTCAAGAGGTCATCTAGTCCAACCCCCTGCTCAAAGCAGGACCAATTCCCAGCTAAATCATCCCAGCCAGGGCTTTGTCAAGCCGGGCCTTAAAAACCTCCAAGGAAGGAGACTCCACCACTTCCCTAGGTAACGCATTCCAGTGTTTCACCACCCTCCTAGTGAAATAGTTTTTCCTGATATCCAACCTGGACCT